GGTTCCCTATTACCAGCTTTCCTGTCCCCTCCTGCCTTCTAGTCCTTGTCCCTGGGCTGTTGTGCCCCATTCATCTCGAGTCTGTGTGTTTTAACTTCCTTTGAAAAGAAAAATCAGAAGGGCTTTGGGACAAAACAGTATTACAATGAACAGTATCTTGCTTCTTTGGAAAAATCCAATGTAAAAAAAATCCTGTCATTAACAGAGGATCATAAAAGCTAGGAAAAAAAGTATTTTTTATTCTCTTAATTTTTTTTTAGCATTGTTGGTCGTTCACTGAGCGATGCCTTTGGTGCGGGGGCGGGGGCGGGCGATGAGGCTATGGCACACACGTAACAAAAAGAAAAAGAAAAAAAAAAAGGCCCTGTGTCTGAAACACTTATATTAATTCTCCAACAAGGGTCTAATCTGGAGTCCTTCTAGGACAAAACTAGTAAGGGTCCGTGGGACTGGCCCCTCTCGGCAGTATTTGTAGATTTGCTTCCTTAGGCTGATAGCTTCAGATGCTTTAAAGGTGCACTATGAGAAAAAAAAAAAAAAAAACTCGGTGGGATATATATCAACCTGGCCATGGCATCTTATACTGCAGACATAAATTACACTCTAATTTAACGAGCTGACAGCTGACATTGATAATGTTCATTGAACCTATGCATCTGCATGTTTATAATTGTGCTGACATAGTTTTCTCCAAAGGTGTGTGTGTGTGTGTGTGTCCTTGTATATGTGTCTGTGTGAGTGTATTTATGTGTGTGCTTGGGGTGGAGGAAAGGATGAAAGAGTGGAGAGATTTTTACCCCTTCGATTGTTCTCTTACTCTGTGCTACTGAATGCAATGAATTCTCTTTCTGCTGTGCGGGTAGATTTTGCCAACTGTGAGAGAAGATTCCGGCTTCTTTTCCTGCCATGCTATCAACTCTTACGGGGAGGACCGTGGAATAATTCAGCTCACAGTGCAAGGTAGGAAGAGGAGAGCAGAGGGGAAAAAAACACAGCTCTTTTAGGACAGTAAGCGTGTGTCGGTGCTCAGCCTCTGTGTGTGTATTTCAGCTTACTGCGCGCAGCTTTCTGATGCCGATAAAATTTTACGTATGTATGAAGTTGCTGTTAACGCAGTATTTTGCAGGACCCCTGATTATGTCAAAGTGCAGCCCCACATACAGGGAACACGCCCTTAAAGGAGTTGAGTCAGATGGCAAGGCCATGCTGAAGGCATGGAAGTGGAATATGACGCCCTCTCTGGCCAATTGTAGAAATGTACGAGACAATCTAAATGAAAAGGGAAGTTTAACGCTTGGGACAAGATAGTGTTTGAGTTATAGATTCCCACCCAGAATAGTGATATTTAAATCCTCCAGGTTTGGCCCAGTTCTGCAAGTATGAAAATTGGAATTGGGGGTAAAGTCGTATTTTTTCTCCCTACAATGTGATTAGGAAAAACAAACAAAAAGCACTTTCCAGATAAAAAGCGTCTGTCCTTGTCTAATGCTGTCGAACCTTTGGCGAGTCCTACTTGGCATTTCAGCTGTCATCTTATTAATGTCTGAACTATGTTTGAAGTAACCTGGGCCTCTCTATTGGTTGCACAGAACCCCCCGACCCTCCCGAAATCGAGATCAAAGACGTGAAAGCGCGTACAATTACCCTCAGGTGGACCATGGGCTTTGATGGTAACAGCCCCATCACGGGCTACGATATCGAATGCAAAAATAAATCAGGTAAGTCCTTTATTTCCTCCCACGTGGGTCACTTCCACAACCCGTTTATTTGTTTGTGTTTTTGTTTTTTTCCTTTCTTTTTTCATTTTACCCGCAGGAATCAACCTCGATTTGCAGAAGTTCGGAGGACACCCTTCTTGCCAGCCCATCTCTTTTCTTGCACGAAAGACATCCAATGTTCCCTTTAGGGGCTGTGGAGTTTGGTGTCAGCACACACTTTATTGATGCGCTCAGCCTCTCTTCTTTGTTTGCCACCCAGAGCAGCCCCAGAGCTCAGCCGGGCTCTCCACCGTCCATGCGGGTGTTCTTGCCGCTGATGGGCACGTGGACACCTGCTGACAGATACAGGCCACTGTCATTACTTTTTCCACCTCTTCCTGGAAACCCTGGTGGTGTAGTGGTTAAGTGCTATGGCTGCTAACCCAAAGGTCAGCAGTTTGAATCCACCAGGTGCTCCTTGGATACTCTATCGGGCAGTTCTATTCTGTCCTATAGCATCACGGTGAGTCAGAATCCACTCGACTCGATGGCAACAGGTGTTTCCTGCTTCCTTTCGCTTCCCATTTTCCCAGTCAGTGGCTGCTCTGGAGAGTGACCCTGGGACCAGAGCCTTTAGCTCCAGCTGTTCTTGGTGGCCCTGGGCGGTGGGATTGCCATCCCCATTGTAGTTTTTCCAGAGAAGGGAGAGCTGCTCCTGGCTGAGACTAGGCACTAACTCTGCAGCCACCTTCTTAAAATGCTGCAGAGTATGGACCAGTGATACTTAATCCTACACCCAGAAAGTACTCATCTATTTCTACAGGGCTGCTTCTGGCCAAGTTAACAGAGAACTCATAAAGCTGACCTGTCTCTCAGGACCACTGTACACGTGTGTCCTTCCATTGTCTTAACGGGAGAACACGAGGGCCCTTTCCAGCTTTATAATCCACGTAGCCTTGAGTCGGAATTTTTACTGTGTCTCATAAACTATAAGACGAATTAGAGCAGCATCAGTACGGGAAGGGTTAATAAAATTCTCAGAGGCCGCAAAGTAGCCTTATTTCCACTTTCTGGGGCACAGTACTGTTATTTCAGATTACACTGTCACGACCTATTTAGTGTCTTTTAAGCTGAAGCTGTCGTGAAACAATAAGCTCAAGGCAGCTTGAGAGCCAGCTGAGAATGGAGGGAATATTATAGTAAGAGCGTGTTAAGGGGCAGGGAGAAAATGCAGGAGATGGGGTTGTAAAGGGACACTCAGTAATGGGTATTAAGGAGTATGGGAAAGCAATGTCTTCAGATAAAAGGAAGATACAGAAGATCAAGAATGGTGGTTTAAGACATAGTATTTGAGCCTTGCAGTAACTGGCTGGGTTGGAAGTGGATGTAGGAAAAACTGGGACAGCTGAGTTTAATTGTCCCAGCACTTCCTCCGTTGTTGTTATAGCTGCTGTGGAGTCGGCCGCCGATGCCTGGGGACCCCCCCACACACAGCAGAGCGAAATGCTGCCAGGCCCTGCGCCATCCCCATGATCAACCGATTGATCTGTTGTGGATTAGACTGTTGTGATTCATAGGGTTTTCACTGGCTGATTTTTGGAAGTAGATTGCCAGGCCTTTCTTCCTAATCTGCCTTAGTCTGGCAGCTCCCTTGAAACTTGTTCAGCGTCATAGCAATACTCAAGTCTCCACTGACAGGCAGGTGGTGTCTGCGCATGAGGTGCATTGGCCGGGAATTGAACCCAGGTCTCTCCCATGGAAGGGGAGAATCCTACCACCAAACCACCAATACCCCCACTAGGGGGCCAGAAACAAGGTGGTGCAGGTAGAGGTCCCTGTGAGCTTGCCACACGGAAGCCTTGAGGGGAGCACAGCTGCTCCAAGTCACTCTGTCACTGGATGTGTGACACCTAGCCGGAGCTGGAACCCAGGGCTGTGCAGGTGAGGCACGGTGACCTGGGGAGCATGACAGTGCCCACCCAAACATGAGATCTTTTGGAGACTAGAAAGAGCGAGCTTCTGAAGGGCTAAAAGGAAAGAAAAAAGGGCAAGATTGTCTTTGTTCTAATGAAATGAGGTCTGGGTGGAGCCAAAGAATTAAAAGCTTTGAGGGGCAGATTTTGAAGTAAAAGAAAACCTTCTTAATTGAGGTAGACACTTTCATCTTTTCAATATTACTTACTTGTAGTATGGTATTGAACATGAGGAGTCCCTGGGTGGTGCAAACAATTAACACATTGGCTGCTAACCGAAAGGCTGGCGGTTGGAGTCCACCCAGAGGTACCTCAGAAGAAAGTTCTGGCAATCTACTTCTGAAAGATCAACCATTTCAAACGATATGAGCACAGTTCTGCTCTGATGCACATGGATGGGGTCACCATGAGTTGGAATCGACTCCAGGGCAACATTTTTTTTTTTTAATTGAAAATAACCCCCTCAAACTTTGTAGAGAGTGACTTGGAAACTGGCAGTAGCAATGAGAATTCAGGAGAAACACTGACAGGCATCGTGAGGAAGCCCAGCATAGTCCTCAGAGAGTAGTGATAGCCCCATCAGTCTTGTTCGTGGAGCTGGGTCAATCCACCACCGTAGACAGAGATCTCTGCAAGGTGGACATTGTTTCAAAAGGCAATGAAACCACCAAGATTAGCTCTGCTGGCAGACCGCCCAGCCTGAAAGAGAAGCATGGGGTCATACAAAGTAGGCTGCCACTGAATTAGATTTGGCAGTGAAGGGAGAGAAAGTGACATCAACTTTAGCGCCAATACACGGACCGGAAGTGGAACAATCACTGCCGGAAGGGGACTTGGTCACAGCCTTAGCATAGCCCTCTGAGGCTATGACATTTCTTTTAGGTTAACACGTGTATTGAGAGACGTCCATGCGCCAAGTACAAGTGCTTTGGGGTCCAATACAAACAAAACTGGTCTCTGTCCTGAGGACTTTAGGGCAACACAGAGCACTTGAAAAAAACTAAACTGATTGCCATGGAGTTGATTCCAACTCATGGTGAGCTCGTGTGTGTCAGAGCAGAATTGTGCTCCATAAGGTTTTCAATGACTGATTTTCGGAGGTAGATCTCCAGGCCTTTCTTTTGAGGTACCTCTGGGTAGATTAGAACCATCATCCTATCGAATAGTAGTTGAGTGCAAACCATTTGGACCACCCAGGCAACTTCAGAGCACTTATTAGAACATTGAGTGAGCCAATAGTTTATGCCATGAATGCAGGCTTAAGTGATTTTCATGGATACGTTAAATCCAGCACACTGGGGAAGGGCTGTCTGAGTGCTCTGGATGCTCCAAGCATGGACCTTCTCTTGGCTTCTCCAGCCTCAGGCCCTGGGTATGGTGGGCAGCCGTGGCTCACTCTAGTGAAGCCCAATGTGGCCGTACTGACAACAAGAAGAAACAGAGGAGGAATATTTGTGTCCTGCCATGCCCATGACCCACCTGTGTAGTTCTCAGGAAACACTAGCTTAAGTTAGAAAAGTCCCACCCCAACTACCCTGGATCTCTCACCTCTGGCCTTTTAACCCCTGTGGTAACTCCATCTTCAGGGTTAAAGGTGTGCTGGTTTTTAGGTCACCCTTAAATAAAACCCACCACCGCTTTGAAGCAACTCCCCCACCTCCAGGCACCGTGAATGCCTCCCCAGCTCTAAGCATCCCATCCAGAAAGGCTGATGTGAGTACTAAAAGTGGTAGAGAACCCAGCGTGGTGCCTGCGTATAGCAGGACTCAGTAAATGGATGATACTCCTACCGTACAAATGGGTAACATGCTCAGCTGCTAACAGAAAGGTTGGCAGTTCCAGTTCACCCAGTGACGCCTCAGAAGAAAGACCTGGTGATCTAATTCTGAAAAATCAGCTATTGAAAACCTTATGGGGCGCAGTTCTACTCTGACACACATGGGGTCGTCATGAGCCGAAATCGATGACAACTGGTTTTTAGAAAATTTCATCTCTGCTAGATGGGTATGATTATCACCAAGTAAGAGATAAAGAAGCAGAGACTTGGAGTGATTTACCCAAAGTCATCCAGCTGGGATGTAGCCAAGCTGGGAATCCATCTAGACAGGTCTCATCCCCATCCTGATCCTGGTCCACACCTTCTATGCCAGTGTGACTGGGACACAGATCAGTTGTGGTGAAGGGGCTAGTACAAGGTGGGTCTAGACTCCAGAGCACAGGAAAGGTGGGCTTCTGTGATGGTTTGACTCATCTTGAGGGCCCTCAGTACCTCGTAGGGAGAGGGCAGAACAGGTGCTTCCAAATGGCAGGATGATGATAATTATAAACAAACAGTAGTAATAAAATAACAGTGGACTCACTCTGCCAGGTACTGAGGTAGGCGATTTACCTGTGACTGCCATTGGCAGGTGAAGGTAAATGACTTTCTCAAGGCTAGCAGCTGAAAAGTGATTAGGTCAGGAACCAAGATTGGCTGGGACTGGCTCTCCCCCTAGTGAAAAGTGCCCACACTCATACACAAGTCAGCCAACAATTTCTGTCCAGGAAGCATAATTCAATACTCAGCAGATCCCACTGTCCACTCTGCCTCACCCCATCACGATCTTGCAGAAAGGAACTCTGGGATCGAGTCCTCATATTCCCTCAATCACAGAAATCTCTAATTTTCCACCGTGATCCCACTTACAACGTTTACCTGGACACTGGGCACAGCTGTGCCCACAGCACCTCTGCAAAGGCAAACACAGGTGGCTTTTCAACAGGAAGTCCAGAGGAGCAGGAAGCTTGTGAGACAGAGGAGACCCCACCTTGTTCCCAGCCCAGGCAGCCCCTGCAGGGTCAGGCTGCAGCCAGTGCTCCCAAAGCGTGATTGTAAGACATTGAATTCTGCAAAAGCCCTGAGATCTCTGTGATGCAGAATAATCCATTGTTTAAAATAGCAACAGCAAACACTCAAACGTGCCAAGCCCTGTCCCGGCACTTCATATATGTTAAACTCACATACCACTCACAGCAACTCGGCGAGACTGAAACTGTGATTAGTTTTAT